AGGTCCATCTTGACTCGTCTTCAGAGCTTCCTGTGTTTCATCACACTGGACATGCTTGGTTCTATTCAAGACTGTACTGTTCAACATGCAAAGCAAACAGAGTATGTTGATTTAGGCTGTATTGGCTGAATGAGATCGTGTTGGTTCGTTCCACTTCAGTGGGGCAACATAAACTGTTATTCATAAAAAAGCTCTATTGATAGTAAGTACTAAAAAAAAAAATTTCTACTCATGCCATCCAGTTGATTTTTAGTAATCAGTGTTTCGGTGTCGAACTATTTCCCTTCTGCGGCATAGTGATACTTGCACACGCGCAATCGAATATGCAGGGGGTGAAGCGATTTTTGTCACGTGGACCAATAGGAGCCGAGTCTCGTTGCCGCAGTATCAGAAATACACATACATGGCGACGACAGCATCTCGCAGCGAAACAAGCGAGGAGGAAGAAAAGAACAGGAAAAAAAAGAAAACAGCGTTCAAAAGTGCATAAAAATTGAATGAAACAATGCTATATGCATCTATCATCTGTCCAGAGTGAAGACGTTCTCGACTTTACAAGGACATGATGGGAAACTTACAGAACTAGTATTGGAAAGTGGCTTTCTCTACAGGGTGAGACAAAAGACCTTGCAGAAACTTAAACATTGCGTTGATATATTTCAGTTATTTCACACTTTTTTCTTAAGCACACGATTCCACATGTGTTCATTCATAGTTTTGATGCCTTCACTGAGAATCTACAATTAAAATAGTAATAAGAATAAAGAAAATGCGTTGAATGAGAAGGTGTGTCCAAACTTTTGGACTGTACTGTATACTCAGTCTGACTTTTGTCACCAGCCAGAAATGTACATATATGTGAGTAACACAAAAAGCAATTATATGTTGCTGCTGTTTTTGCTTGTAGAAACTGCTATGTTGAATCTGGCAAGACAAAATCTTTCTCAAATGTCATAAATACCGCTATCTAACATCTGAAACAGTCATTGGTGCCTTAGTATACGCATAAGTGAATTCAGATTATGAAATGTAGCAAATTTCTTGAAGAAAACGTCTCAACTCAAGTGATTTGCACCCAGCACAATGAAATATATACAGTACATTTAGCTAAAAGCTTATGTTTCATACATAAAAATGACAACCTACTGTGTAATAGAAGCAATAAAATGTAAACAGCACATCAGGCAGGATTTGTGAAGAAAGTGTGAAGGGGCACACATTATACCAGTCACTTATGCGTGTACTAAGGCACCAATAACTGTTTTAGATGTTTGGTAGATGTATTTATGATATTTGAGAAAGATTTTGTCTTGCCAGAATCAACATAGCAGTTTCTACAAGCAAAAACAGCAGCACCATATAATTGTTTTTGGGTTACTCACATATATGTACATTTCTGACTGGTGACAAAAGTCGGACAGATAGTCTGAGTAGATATTTTAACCCAAAGTCCAGAATGGTATTGTCAATGCAAAAATGCATTCAACAAGTAGCATGATATGGCAGCATTGAATGCACATATGTTGTAACAAGCCCTGTATTGTCCCTTCCCACTGCATACACCACTTAGTCCAGTCCCCTCCTGTGGTGCACCAACGATCGCCTCGTTTGCATAACAAAATGAGAGTTCACAGGTGATTTAGGATATTAGCCAAAAGCCTTCCAGCCGATCGGCTGCCCCGTGGACCTTGAGGGGGGTAAAGCCAAATGGCTGCTCTGTGGTCCTTCTAGTGCTAGTCCTCTGACCACCATGGGGCCTCTGAACCCGCAGCAGGCTCCTTCCTGATCAGTTCAGATTTCCAGGAAGCGTTATCGACTGGATGTCAAAGCCAATTTTTTTTCAGTCAGCAGCTTTAATCAGGAGAGCTTGCTGGGAAATATGATCTGCTCATAATTGCCTGGATTTCACACAGGTGCACTCAACATGCACGCATGCACATATGTGACCTCGTGAGGGAACATATGGACTCTCACACACACAAAGCAGCTAATCTGTGCATTAAAAAGCGAGCCCCTGCAGATGAGATGTTGAGTATCATCTGTTCTGAAATTCTCTGTCAGGTCCTTGTAAGCTTCAGCCCTTTTCAGTTTAGAAGTGGCTCTGGAAAGTCCACATGTGCAGGATCAGGGTAAAACTAAGCTGAAATGATGTCATCTAACCTTGACATTAGAGTTTGTACAATCAGTAGCTTCAATCCTTAAATTAAGGTTGATTAGGATGACCCGAATAGGTTAGTAAAGGGATAAGGACTAAGGGAGAAGTAGTTTCTTGGAGGTAAAAGGATCATTGAGCAACTCACATTTGCAGAAAGTACCGGGCTTTATTAGCAGCTCCTTAATGCACAAAAAATACCATTTTAAACTACTTGAGACACAGCAGAGTGCTGAACGAGTGAAAAGAAACAAGTGAGTTTGCGTTCAGTAAACTCATTACCATTACAGTGAGGAAGTTTGGGCTCTCTTAACAAAAACATGATCACATTAGAAGGACAATTAGGACCTACTGTGGTCTTTAATAACAGCCTGCTCCTCAGCAGAGACTAATGACAGCACTTTGAAGCCAAACAAGACTGTAATTGACCTTAGCTATGATTATAATCATAAGGAAAATACAATTTAATTAAGGCAGAATAAAGAAACAGACAGTTTTTTCTTAAAGTTTCAGATTTTTTAGACCCATTTTTATCACATGATGACTGTCTCTTCATCCTCTCCCTAGTTAAAGCCTAAAATAAATTACCCTCATGTATGTGGAGGTTATTTGTTTCTCCCTATACATTGCCCCCTGCAGCCCTATCGTATACGTCCTATCTCCTCTGCCATCTCCTGTGTCCTTGTCTCCTAGCAAGGATCATCTGTCTGCCTGCAGTGGGCTGTCATTGCTGACGGATGGCGGTGAGTTCGATCCTGTCGCCGTTTGATTGCCAGGGTCTTGTTATCTGTCATCCTACAGAAGGGGAAACTCAATCTCAGTTTCAGCCGCAAACTGGTTTCCCCGGGCAACGCCCCTTGACGTGGATGCGACACGTAAAGTGGCGCCTGTGTCGCCACGTTCAGCCAACGAGCCCTCATCTGTCAGCGTCAGTCAGTGTGTGTGTGTGTGTGTGTGTGTGTGTGTGTGTGTGTGTGTGTGTTGAGACAGTGTAACAGAGAAATATTGTGTGTACATGGCAGTGTGTGTTTTAGGAGTGTGTATGTGTCCTGTCATTTATCAGTGTCAGTGTCAAGGTGTGTTTGCCTGCTTGAATGTGAATGTGCATGAAGAATGAGACCGACTGTATCTGCATGGATCAGTCTTTGGGAACATCAGTGTGTGTGTGTGTATCTTTTGTGTTAACAAGAATGTGTTGGGTCGAGCTTTGATTCACAACCATCACTGATCAAACCTCAGAGCTCAAACATGAGGGACAGCTAAAAGTCCAAACATCAGGGTCATATTTAATTCAAAACTTACTTAGGTTTGGACTTTTTTGATAAAAATGACTCCACGTGTTTAGCTTTTTTTTTGCCGACAAATTCAAGACTGACCCTGAATTTTGCATAAAGATGAAGGATGACAACTTTCTTACCTCTAAACTGATTTTTTCCCCATGCCCAATGTGGATGTTCAGTCTCTGCTGATGGTTAATGCAGCCCACTCACATATGCACGCCATGCTGGTATGAATGCATCATCTATTAAAAATATTTTGCACCATCTAACTGTGAAATTTAATCAAGGGGTGTTCACTGGTCATCTGCAAGTATTCAAGCATTGAACATAGAATTTTTTTATTATTTTTTTTCCCGAACCAACACTGTGGGGAGCTGGTGTCTGTCCATGAGGCCTTTTTAGCTAAACACCCAGAACCTCAACATGGAGCTCGTGGTGAAAACAAACCTACAGCAACTCTTACTTTGCACCATCAAAGTCAAAAATCAGCGTCGTTGGTACAAAGAAACATCTGCCTGGAAAACTCTTAAGCCTAATTTAGAGGATGCGCTGGACTAAATCTAGGAGGCAAAACCTCTAAAGTGTCCCTTAAAGCTCCGAGCTCATGTGAGGAGATTAGAGCTTCTTACAAAGTGGACTGAGATGAGCACAGATTCAAATATAAAGTCGAAAATGTACACAATGACACCACTTTGGTAAAGAACATTTAGCAATGATACTCTAAGACAGATAGAAGGTAGTCTAAGTTAAAAAAAGAAATGAAGAAACTGTAAACTGATCAAGGCTGAACTCAAAGGTCTAAATGATCCTGCAGAGTTGTGTCCATTTAAGCTGAACCTGTTGTGGTCGTTGAACTGCCACTCTCTCTCTCTCTCTCTCTCTCTCTAAAATCACAGTTTTATTCTGCAGGATTCACATCAGACATAAGTTAGCATTGAAACACAAATTTGACCTCCATTTAAATGTTTGTCAACTTGAATTTGTTTGAATTGATAAAAAAGTTTAAAAAAAAATAGTGTCTTTGTGTAAGTAATCTGACACTCAGAAGGACAGAGTCCATGTCCCCTCACAGAAAACTCACTTCAATTCACTTACATTCATCCCTTTAAATAGAAGTTTATCAGGCTGCCCAAAAGTTTTTATTCACATAGTTTTTCACTCAAAAAATCCGGAGAGCCAAATGATGTCATTTTTAGAGATGTGTTCACCTGTTCATGTTTTTTTAGTTTTAACCCTGTACCATTTCATCTCAATGTCATTGAAAGTTTTCAAAACATTTGAAGTGAACCCCTGATGTCTCTGAAAAAGTTCCCATCCAAACTTATCCTGGTCATGGCCTAAAAACTGAAACACTGATATAAAGCTCAAGTTTCACCTTCAAAAGAACAGAAACAGCTGAGAGTGTCCTCATTAACCTGTCTTATGAATATCTTCAGGTTTCAGTCTTTCACCAGATCTGAAAATCAGACTCACCGAACCAACGAACTGCAATGCAACATGCTTATTGTTTTACTGCCACATTAACCTTTATTTACAGTTTAGTGACAAAAATAGATGATTAAGGAATCTCAGTCATCTTTAGGCAGCCTGCAGCAGCAGCAGCCGCCGATCCCCCTTAACCACCTCAAGATCCTCCTCATTCTGGGTTTTTGTACCCTGACCTGGACCTGCACAGCCTTGTTTGCAGTCTGAAAAGCGGGTTCTGTGGTGGACCACTCATCCATAACGTCATCCTCCAGGACTGCAGCTGTGGTGGGAGCTTCAGTGGGTGGGATCACTGGAGGTGATGGAGTTGGCACCATCAGGGTCTGGGTTGTTGGTTTATCCTTGGTTCCTGACTCCTTAATTTTGTCCACATCCTCCAGGTCTAAAACTAGGACTGGAGGTTCATCCCTTGTTCCTGGCTCCTCAATTTTGTCAACACTCTCCAGGTCTGAAACCAGGACTGGAGGTTCAGCTGGCAGGGTGACAGGAGGAAGATTAGCCTGGACAGACTCAGCATGTAGTGAGGGCTCAGTTGAAATACTCTGGCTGGTGAAGGATGGCTCATCAGGATAGACTGGAGGAGATGGTGGAGAACCCAACTTGGCAGGGTCTGTTTCCTGGCCTGGCTCTTGGTTGCTGATGGTATCCTCTGTATCAGGTTCAAACAGTGTTGGAGGCTTTCCCTTTCCCAAAACAGGCTCTGGATCTCTGGTGGACTCTCCCTCCACATCCTTGCCCTCCAGGACTGAAACTGTGGCAGTAGCTACAGCTGGCAGGGTCTCATGAGAACATGGAGTTTGCTCCACAGAGTCCAGTTCACTGCTTGGTTCTTGGTCCTTGCTGTCTGGCTGTACTAAGTCTGTGAGTGGAGGTTCAGCAGTCAGGGTTTCAACAGGAGTTGGATGGTTCAATCAAGGATGGTTTTTGTGACTCCAACAGCCACCTCACTCAGCTTCTCTGAGGGCATTTCACGGCCGATGCTTCTTTTAGGTTTCCAGAAGACCTGAAGGACTTTAGGAACCAGTTCAATGATGATCTCTCAAGGATCCAAACTCTGACAGACAGGAGCTCTATGCAGCTGCTCCACCAGGATCTGTGCATATTCCTGGGCTTTGCTTTGGATCTCTGGATGCTAGTAAGAGGGAGATATTAAGTCTGGGGAATCGAGCAGTTTTCTCGATGTCTCTTTTTAGCAGGCTGGTGTTGACCTCTCACACTAGCTCTAACAGAGGCCTGACATCCGTATCACATCCCTGCAGCTCAAACTTCCAAAGCTGCATTCAGAGTGACTTCTTGCTGTCTTCTGCTAACAGGTTGGCCATGTCTTTAGCAGTCAGCTCTGCAGGTATCTGGTTGTTCTGCTGAAGTTGGAGGAGTTTAACCATGAGAGCCACCTTGGCTTTGTATGACTGATGGTTCCAGCAGATCTGCTTGGCTTCTTTGTATATTGGTGACACCGCTACTGCCTTCAACAAATGACGAATCAGATTCTTGATTCTTGTACAAAAAGCTGTAGCGTGGTGAACACAGGCGTGTCTGTGTGGATGAGAGGGGCTGTTTTGCTCAGACAGGTGTGTTAATGAAGGAGACTGCTGATGAAGTTTATACAGTTCATACCAAGTTTACATCAGATCGCTGCTCTGTGTGTGTGTGTGTGTGTGTGTGTAATGCTGTGAAGTCACTTAATGGCTGTGTGAGCCAATCTCGCTAAAGTGACTGATCGTCACCAGTAGGTCACAAAAAGATGCTTGTCCTGCTCGCTTGGTCATTTCAGTGGCTGGGGCAAAATAGTAGGCTACTATCGCTGACACCTGCCACACTGCGAGTGCAGCTTCTTGATGAAGTAGGTTGTAAATCGGTCTATAGCCAACCGCTTGGGACTCGTCTCCTTTGTACTAACAGCCAGTGAGCCCCCCCACCCCACCCCACCCCACCCCACCACTGATCTAATGCATCATGAATGCCACCAAATAACTTGCAGCCTTACAGCCAATCAGCATGCAGATTCCCCAGTGTTGTATACACAGAGGCCAGTGGAGTTTGATTCCCATCATACTTTTTTTTTTCTGCCATTCCTCCTTTTTGTGCCTCTTCTTTTTCTTCTTTTTGACACTCATTGAAGATTGTCCTTCTTTCCTTTCCTTCTTTCTCTCCTTAAATCCAGGTCTGTTTCCTTCTCTGATCTCCTTATCTGCCTTCCTCTCCTCACTCTCTCATTTATCTTGTTCTCACCTCAACCTCAGGGATGTTCGTGCAACTCGTATCTTTCTCCTACATTCTTGATTCCTGTCTTTTCTGCCTCCCTTTCTCACTTCCCTTTCCTTTTTCTATCTCCTCCCATTTCCCCATCTTTACTCTTCCTTCCCTCTCAGTCTCTTTACTCGCCTACCTTTTCTTTATCTTCATCTTCTCACCTCAACATGTGTCTCACCCCTCCTCCCCTCTCACCCTCACACCTCCCTCTCCCTCCCTGAGTTAGAACAGATAAGTATGAAGCTATCTTAAGCTCTGCTCTGCTCTTCTTTCTGACAGTCATTTGGTGGCGGGTCACCAAGTCATCCCAACAGTCACCTGGCAACCACCTCTATCACCGGGCAGCCATCTATCTCCTTTGCCTGCTGGTTAAATCCCTCTGCTGTGAGATGTGCACACACGTGCACTCACACTGGTTCACATGCACACTTTGTAAACATACAGCACATAGGCAGTATGTTATTTCACATATATTCTTAAGCCAAAGCTGCTTTCAAAGACACAATCATGAGGATTTCATCTCACAGACTCCCACTGTGTTTTCTCCTCGCCTTCTTATCAGTCCACATGCACGGACACACACTGCCACTAAATTCACTGTGATTATAGAGTGTGTTTATGTGTGTGTGCCCATCTGGGTGTCGACTTGTTTTATGCATCATCATAAACATGCCATGTGCATCTCTTTTTAATGTGCATGTATTTATGTTCCCATATGTGTGAATATGTGAGCGCAGTTTCCAGCTGTACTGCAAATAACGTCAGCACAGCCAGCTCAGAGCTAAGGCATAAAGGACACAGCTGGGGGGGGGAGGAAATGCAGAGAGGAGATAGAGATAAGGAGAAAGGGAAAAGATAAAGATGAGAACTGGGAGGTAAAGTGACAAAAGAAGACTAAGATCCCCAAAATATGACAAGAAAAGAAGAGAAAGTAATAAAATACAGGAGAAAAAAAGCAGAAGATAAATGGAGGTGGAGGTTTAAAGCGAGAAATGTCTGCTTTAACCGAGTGCTCTGCATTCAGGTTGTTGCTGCAGGCCTTTGGAAACCCGCTGCACACTGTGTCTCTATTAGAGCAGTAAACAGGCGAACACAACAGCAGCTACAATGCCTCCCTGTCCAAGACTACACATCTCATTATATCGTCCATTTTCAGAAGGAGTCTGGCCCGCTTATAGCTTGTCACCACGCTGTTAGACCACAGGCAAACTGAAAACCAACCCAGCCGAAGTCTGCTCACTCTACCCCGGCACAGAGGGAAGACAAACATATTTATATCTGCAAATTTGACTTCTAGCACACAACACATAGCACACTCCACACATTCACAACATAACCTGCAAAACAAATGTTTACCCATGAAAAAAAGTATCTGCTGTCCTAAAGGGCCCTAGGCACAGCGCTTAATATTTACCAGCAGCTTTTCTGTCTGCTAAGCTTTAAATCTACCTGTAATACAACTGTTTGAGGAGCATGGTAATTCTGTAAGGAGGACGGGACTGAGAGCTGCCTCTGATTCAGTAAGGTTAATGTGTTACTAAAGCACACTTCAGACTGACTTCAGGTCTGATCCCTCACACATTCAAGGTCAGCTAAATCATGATTATTTGATGGTCTGTTTGGGAGAGACAGTGAAGCCAATGAAAGTACCTTTTAACAAGTCATGCTGAGTGCATCGAGCTCCTTTACTTTATATGTTGATAATGTTTATCCTACTTTGAAGAACAGACGCTGGATAGAAAGTGAGAATAGCCTGCAGCTTTAAAATAATGCAACACTTCTTCACCTAAGGCAGATGACTTCCCCTCAGGCTGTTGACTTAAGCATTTCTTAAAATCAAGCAGTCCAGTTAGTCTGAAATTAAGTTCATGTTTCCAAGGAAGAACAGAAAAGAAAACAATCTAAATTCAATACAACTTCTTTATTAAATCCTTGTGTATAATTATCACCATGCAACTCTCCCAGTGTTGCACAAAAGGCTTTTTGTGTTTTTACACACAGTAGGAGCACTTTTTTCAACAACCATGCAGCAGCGTACTGGGCTGAATATCTAATGGAGAGGGTCTGGCATCATGTCCCATCAGCACCACTCCAGTAATCAGCTGAAGGACTCTCTTTAAGACTGTTCAAACTGGACGGAGCAGCTCTGATTATACAGATGAGCTCAAGTTCAGGTATCCTTAACACTCATTTTCCTGTCACTTAGCCTTTGTACCACCTGTTGAATACATTTCAATGCCATAAGTAGTGAGTAAAGATAAGTTCAGCTGTGTCTATAAGATAATCAAGCTCCTTTAATCACATTTTATTACTCATTTTTTCACGTTTCTTTTTGCAGGGTAAAACTTCATGCAGACACGGAGCGGTGTGTTTCTAATACCAGGCTGCGTTCAAAGCTGCCAGCAGGACACAAAGGTGAGTCACAACCTTTCATTAACTGCTGGAGAGAAATAGAAAAAGGACGATGATGAAATCCAGACAGAAAAAGAAATCCATACCATTCTGAAACCAAGTAAAGAAAGTCTGCACAACAGCCTGAGCTCGGAGGTTTGCAGTCTACAGTGGAACAGCAGGCACACCTGTCATGTGCCGCTGAGTTGTTTTTCAAAGAAAAAAACAAAAAAACAGAAAGACATTTGTATCCTCCTCCATCTATTCACCCTCTGCAGGAACCAAACCTGCTGCCAGCTGCTGCTGTCAGGAGAAACTCCATGTTCAAGATGAAGAGCACATGTGAGACTGACTCTGCATGCAGCCGCCATTCATCTCAAATCAACACCCCCCCGTCCTGTCTACCGCTCTGCTTTAAAGCTATGTGACACATCATTTACTTTTTATATTCCTACAATCATGACACCATCTCCAGACTGCTTCTTCTAAATGACTCTTGTTATGTGATTTTCCTTTGTCTAGTCTTAGTGACAGAACAAAAATTACTCATGGATGGCCCACAGTTTTCACTGCTCTCCTCCAGGTTTCTGGTCCTCGCACTGTTTGACATGTTTTCTCATTTAGACAGCGCCCTCTGTGATGTACATGTATTAATACGGATCAGTTTGGGCCCTGCAGAAATGTTTGGGCTCTTTAGCGCCAGAGAGCCTATTTATTTTTGCACAAATGGTCACGACACATATTCCTCTGGCTGTAGCTCATGGCTCTCTGATTGCAGAGTTCCTGAATAATTCCTGTGTTTGTGTATTTTTTATCATTAGTTTTTTTTTTTTTTTTTTTACATTCAACTTAATGATATGATTAAACTGACCTCAAACTGAAAGGGGTTTGCAGTCTAGCTTCTGCAGCTGAATTTTCAAAAGGCCTGAGCTGACCGGCATCTTAAAAATAATCATATCTTGTAAATATACTGTATGTCCTTGTGTTACCTTTGGAAAAAAGGTTTACATATTTGGAGTGAGTGGTTACATCAGATACTACAGGAAGAACCCAGACTGCAAACGTGTTGGTTACAAAATGCATGATCTTGTATTCTCATGCAAAAGTTAAATACCTTATAAATTTTTAATAAACCTGTTTTGATTCTTTGTCGCATCTTATTTCGCAGACCTTAGGATGCTCTGTCATCCAAGCGAGCAAGGACATCATTTCCATAGGTCACAGTTGTGAGTTTTAGGTTAGGCACACAAGAACACCAGACTGCATAGAGACTTATAGATTTGTGTACCAGCTCAGTCTATCACAAAGTTACGACCTTGTTTC